ATTGAAATGTTGGTTAGGAGGTCGTTTACTTCAACTTACCTGAGGTTCGACTTACCATTCTGGAGTTAGATTAGTATAGTCCGCGGCGCAAAGCGGCGCGCACACCTTCAATTTACATACGGAACGACTTACTCCCAGCGGCCGCAGGAAGCAACTTCGACTATATTTTTTCCACTTTACACTTCTAAAAATTTCGTTCTCTGCCTATCCTACTTCCCCACCCCCAAAACACTATAACCACCGTTTTTGCAGCACAAAATGATGGGACTAGAGGTATATGAGTAAGCCTACATAAGCTAATTTTGCCGACTCAGAGACAGGAACTGTCCACAATGCATGTGGCTCTGCAATCAATTCCCGGGAAAATTCGATTTAGGATTAATATGCGGACTAGGTTTAAGGTGAGGGTTTGTTGCGGTCAAGGATGAACGATCTACTGTAACCACTAAGATTGTTCCCTCTGTTGGAAGAAGGCAATCAGAGGTTGGGAGCCATTTATTGGATACACAGGGCAAGTCGCCGTGTCAGCATTATATTAAGGATTAAGGTTTGGGTACGTTGTAACTGTAGGGCTTGGATTTAGGAGAAGGCTAGGGTTAAGGTTCCACTTTAACTTTATGTTAGGGTTAAGACACGAAAATAATTATTCTCCCTGAAATTTATCACAAGACCACCTATTTTAAGCAGACGGGGAGTTCCTATTCCTGTCATACAAGTCATCCTTACCCCAAAACTCGGATAGCCTTAACGTAATGGCAGGGTAAATGAAACGGATATCAGAGGTCTGATGTTCATCTGCGACCCACGGCACAAGCCTTATGGCTGTGTAGAGGTAAATAGTGGCTCAGAATGACGGATTCTTCCTTAGCTCGACTGGTGACTATTCGGTGCGTCCACGGGTGGCGGATACTAAAACGTTCTCGAACGATGGTAAGCTGTCTAATAAACAGGTTCTCGGGTCACAAAAAGAAGCAGTGGCGATAGTGATACTAGAGCACGGATAAATGAGGTCTCGTACGCTGATGAACACGGGGCACTGTGAGCCGCCATTAGAGCCGTCTGGTTCCCAAGGCTACTTTTTGGCTAGGTTGATGAACAAAACCACTAGAGACAACCTCAAACACAATATCCGAACGACTGTTGGGGACCTGTATGCACTCGATGTGCCTAGCAGACCTCACTAAAATGTCCGATTTAAAGATCAATACTACAGTCCGCGAGGATAAACGAAATCGGCAACGCTGGCCCTAGGAGGAGGGGATCCGGACGAATAGGCCGCGAGCTGGACAGACAACTAGAAGGTTCTTCAGTTCATTCAACCCCCGGGAGGCTGTTAAACGAGTTCACGGATTTTCTCCACTGGCTTGCATACTGAGGACTTAAACGATGGTCATTTCCTGCCGTACTTTTACTACTTGTACCTCGTACGGTTATGATAATGCCCGATCTAGCCGGTCTCAATGATGTCACATATTACACCTCTCCACGCGCGATAATTAGCAGCAGCGGATCTGGAAAGTTCAGCCCAGTCTCTTTTCCGGTGACGGAGACCAAATACCGAAGGTTTTGACGAACTGTGTCGACACAGGTTTTTTTTAGTTTATCTTCTCTACAAAGCCACCAGATGGCAACGGCGTCGAATCGACGGCAGTATAACTGGGCTCGTGAGGCGGGTGGCAGAGGAGGTGCCAAAACCACCTCAGACACCTTCCTTGGACGGCCTGAGATATCCTAGCGAGTAGCGAGTACGGACTGCCTCATTTGAGACGTGCGTGTACTTCACTCGAAGGATGGTCTGCAGGTAACGATTTTCAAATACCTCTAGCCTTCGCAAAGCTCAGCACTCATGAGCGCAGAGGAGGAGGACTGACCAGACGGATGCACAGTACGCGCGGATTTTCGCAGTGATGGAGATGTCGCGTCGGATCCAGGGGCGCTTTTGAAAGATTGACCAAACCTGTCGCCTTCTGCCTCGGCTCTGGTTATAAAATAGGAAGGGTATTCTATGTTCGGGACTTCGGCCGCGCTGGGATGTCATAATTCTCGGACATCAAGACGTTATGTGTCTCACAGTTTAGGTAAGGATGAGAGGTAAACTATCCGGCGGCTGCGACTGAGAACACGGT